ATTTTTCTGCTTGTTATGATTTTTTAAAATTTCTGAAATTATCCCTTAATTTCTAACTGTGTTAATTTTCATAGTACAAGAAAAAGTCCCCTGATCATTTTTATGTGGACTTATATGCTCTACAACTTTTATAAGAATCTTTTTTTCTAGCTCTTACCCCTTTTGAGTTATCTTGAAAAACCCCTTTATTTTATCTTCTTTCACCCATGGCCGGAGGTTGAAAAAAATTACTCTCACTTATTGTTATTACATACCTCAAACTAACTTATACCAAATATTCAGGCAAGTTGACCAAATTGCGATTTAAAGGTCTATTTAATTGGACCACAATGGCAAAATGAAAATGAAACTTGAATTAATTTTCGCCAAATTTATGAATTTTAATCGATTTACTGCCCGTAGAAATCAATTTGCAATACTTAGTAACCTTATTTCAGAGTCAAACAAGAAATTCTATACCATGACGCAATGGTGTCATGATGCGGAAATAGCAGATTCAGTGCTAAGGAAGAAGTAACGATATAAATATTTATTTACTTATTTACTCATTTATTTGACATATAAACGGGGAAACCCACTATAATATTGGCAGATGCGAAACTAAAATATATATACAGGTAGTAACTACATATTGTGAAAATAACTTCAATAAAATAGATACTATATTTTATTAGGCAAGTGGATTATTTATGTATTCTTATTTTTTTGTATCATAGTGTTATTTTTTGAACTAGAACTACCTTAGCGTTTATTTCTTTTTAAAGCCGTGAAAATGTATCAAACTCTTCAAATATTGAAATGTGAGAACGAATTATTCTTGTAATTGGCAAATTACAAATTACAGAACACATTTTTGTTCTATCAAATAAATCAAGGTTTTCTAAAATTTTTGCAAATATTTACACAGAAATTATTAAATTTAAGCTATAGTAAATACCAAAATTAATACTATTATTATTATTACAACGGTATTTCATTCTATTGTAAAAAAATTGTCACAATTGTAGTAAGTTTAAAATATATTTTCATATAGGTAATTAAAATATTTTAAGTATTTTCAACAACGTTATAGATATAGAAAATTGCATATATGTAGAAATATTTGTAGAAAATCTATGAAATATTTAAAATCAATGGTTTCAGTGTAATATAAGACTGTTCTCTGGTGTTTTAAGAGTTGATCGGAGTATCTCTGGGTAAGAATGTGGTAATCATGGAAACGTGAATGTGATTAAAGAAAAAATTATGGTATATGGGAATAAAATCAACTTGTAACGAAATTAACTAAAATTTTCGTTACAAAATTCAGTACAAATTTTATTAACAGTTTTGTTTAAAAATGTTGACGATATAGCCTTATAATAATACTTAATAATTATTATTATTAATGAGGAATAACCTATTGCCCCTTCCTCCCAAATTTTTACAAGTGCTGTTCAATAATAGTTAACAGTTGAAATATTGATATTCATAAATACTTCTTTTAAAATCACGTGAAATTAAGAATTTGTTGACTATTCATTTTATACTAGCTTTACTTTATTACATATTACTGTACTATTGCTTTTTCCCAGAACTTCGTAGATCTATCACTAGTTTATTTATGATTCTCTACTTGAATTCTAAAGTGGAAGGTAAACTACTTCGTTCTTTCAATTTCGTTCCCATGTAGATGAAAACCCAGTACCTAATAGAGGATTAAGTTTACTTTATTCGGGTTGTGTGGGAGCACGGGCATTAAATTTGTATAGAAACGTTTGAAGATAGTTAAATATTCATCTAGAAGGGCAAGCTTATCTAAGCAATTATGAATGTTGAGTTGGTAAATAACGAAGAGATTCTTAACCTAATAAGAGTGGGTAGTAGAAAAATAAATGAAGTAGTGGACGAAATAGTTTGTAGAATATATTTATTTCGAAAATATAAATAATGTTTTTTTGTTATTGAAACATGCTTCATTAGAGTTATTCTAAATGTATTACTCCTTGTAAAAAAAATTCAAACGAAAAGTAATTTTGTACATTTCATAGACGAGGGAAATTTCTACGAAAACTTTAAACTTAATCAGACTACTGTGAAGTGGCCAGGAATTATAATGAACCATCTTGTTGAACTTTAAGTAACTCTTAAAGCAGATATGATTTCCGTTTAGCTTGCTGGCTTAGATCAAGATGGAAATGTTTGTTTTTATTAACTTCGCGGGGATACAAACATTAAGAGTGTAATTAAGGACGGAATTTAATTTTAGGATTAATTTAAGTGATAAAGAAGTACCTACTTCAATCTCCTACTTTTTCAAGAAAATGATATTCAAAAATTGAACGGATTGTAAATATACAGTGAAAATTTCTTAACGATTAAACCTTAAATAAAGCTTTAAAATAACCACGTTAATTTGAAAATTAATTAGCTCCTTCTTATACACAGGGTGTCCGAAAACGAATGGGCCATACTTTAAAGATAGCTTCCTTACACGAAAATAAATCGATTTATATGAATTGCCGTTGGTCCAACTTTACTTTGTTAAAAAAAATTGGAATCTTTAAAAGACTATTTGGCCACGTTTAAGGTTTAAGGGAAATTTGGTATACTATAAAACGGAAATCCCTCAACTTTTTCATCAAAATTCGATAGAGTTTACTTTTATCAGTACGGTGATACCCGTAAGTCAAAAGTAGGATTTGTTAGTACCTAATCGTTTAGAATTATTATGAAGTGAAACATTTTTTTTTAATCGGGGTTTTGATTCTAGAAAAACATAATTTAAATTAAGCATCATTCTGTTTAGCAGTACGTTGAAAAAAAAAACAAATAAATTTTGTGCACATCTAACCATTTCGGAATAAATCTGCTTCAGTTCATCACCTTCATCGCATTTTTTAAAGTCTTCTGCACCATCCAAATCCGCTGGTAAATTCTGCCTTTTAACTACCATAACACGAAAAAATAGAGGGGTAATCTGGTAATAAGGCTGGATAATCTATTCCACAGCATATTTCGACCCTTGTTTGAAAGTCATTAGATATAATCTCTCGTTAGATATAAAGCTATATTATTGACACTACAAGTCTTCGTTAGGAGTATCAGGATTGTATAAAATTAATTTGTTCACGTTAATTGCCAAGGAGCAAATGATGTTTCTCTGTGAAAAATCACCCCTTAGCTACTAACAAACCCCAAACTCCGCTTAAGTGGTATGAATGGACTCAGAAAAGCAAGCTCTATCGAAATCTTATAAGTAAAGAAATTAAAGGTATGATCATATTGTCATAGCTCAAAAACAAATGAATGATAGCTCAAAAACAGTTGAATGACATAGGTATAATAAATTATTTATTAAAGGTTTTTTAAGAAAAGTAATACCAATCTGTCTTGGCAATATTCCCGACCTTTGTTACACAGCAAAGGTACATATTTTTTCCCATATTTTATTTGTGGGATTTTGAGAAAATTCAGATGTTTTATGAAATATCATTTCTTTTTCTGCAAAAAGATGAACTTGCTGCATTTCGCTGAAATGGATAATTCTACAGAAAAGTGGATATTATTTGAGTACCTAAATTTCTGATATCGAAGAGTTTTTAGAAAAAATTACAAGAGCTAATAATACAATGTTTTTTGTCACCTTGTCAAATTGTCACCTTAGATTATTCCAAAAATCTCCTTATACCAAAACGGTATGGAATATATTAGAACATTAACCTTAAACCTTAAAAAAAGAAGTAACCATTTTTTAAGTTCCGTCAATTTTTAAGAAAGCAAAATTGTATTTGCTAAGATAATTTCATCAAAATCAATTTGTTTCAACTTTATAGAATATTCGTTTCTGGATGATCTGGATACTGGAAAAAAATAATAAACAAGAGTGCAAAGATTTATTTATATTTTAGACCTAGTTTGATATTTTACAGTTTTCTTCAATAATAAAAAAAAAGAATTTAAAAATTCAGTATGATTTGTTATCTCTACTATACAAGGTGTGGGGTGTATAATTTATAAAAATTAAACTACAACTTCCTAACGATAATAATAATTTGTCTTATACGAAAAAGTTCTATTTTTGCGGTTTTTTTTTTCGTAAATTACAGTTCAATTATGGATCAAAATATTTTCTCTGGAACGGTCCTGTCCGTGTGCTGTACAATGAGTTACGTGCTGTAGACCAGCCGCGTAAACAGATCGTCGTTGAAAGATAGAAAGATACTTCCCAATTTTTATGGAATTTTTCAATGCAAAAGTACAAAGAAAAATAGATATTAAAAAAAAAACTGATACTTATTTTCTTATTATAATGGGTTAATATTACTAGTATTAGATTATACCGACTTAAAATTATAAAGTTGCATCTCGGGTCGCATAAAAACATTTCCAAAGTTTTTAATACACAGGGGTCGGCCTTAATTTTCATTGAATAAATGAACTTTAATTTACAAAATAAAAACGCGAAGATAGAACTTTTTCGTATAAGACTTATATATTACAAATATCATCAGGAAGCTGTAGTTTAATTTTTATAGATTATACACGCCACACTCTGTATAATGTCTTCCTGTATCTGTAAATTACTCAGAAACATGTTGACAGGATGCAGGATTACGTACTACGTCGTGTATAGTCTCATAAAATATTTTATATCTCATAAGTTGCAAAGACCTAGGTACCTATTATTTACTGTTGAAGGGGTATTTCAGTAAGTTTTAATGGTGGAACATTAATTCTTACTTACGTATTTTTATTTCCCTCTCCGCCCCCCTCGTCCCACAATTTTTTATTGCGCGAGAAACATTAAACGAATTTTTTGTGGATAAACTGACTAACACGATATATACCTATTCCTAATTTACTTTCGCATAGTTTAATCTTACAAAGCTTATTTCACAATTTTCTTTCATTAGCTGAAAGTTAATCACAACCCATTCGAAAAAAGCTGTCGGTTGTACGCGAGATCTTGTGTTACTTTAATTAAAGGAAAAAGTTTAATTACTGCGTTTTTCTTTCAGAGGCGAAAGCGGAAATCCAAGGACCTTCGGAGAAGTATCTGAAGCCAGGCTCAGGGTTGCGGCTGCAGTGTACTGTCCTACAAAGTACAGAGGTTGGTAGAGGATCCGTAATTAGAACTAAGTTTGCAAACTCTTGAACGTTTGTTTAATCTAATGTAAAACATAATTTATTGCTTGTGTAACTTACGAAGGCCTTAAAATAATTTATTTTCGAGGGCTACACTAAACAAGATATGTTCTAAATAATGCTGATCCGTCTTTAGATTTATCTCTTCTTCCCGTCTTAAAATCCCTAAATTATTCGGATAATTTACATGATTCTCCGTTATTCGTCCTAAAGAGGTCTTTATTTCAATTAATCGCGATGTTCTAGAATTAATTGTATCTGGAATAAATCATTTTTAGTAAGATGTTTATACAGTGCCTTTCAAGAGCAGCAACAAAAAGGAAAAAAACATTTAAAGGAATAAATTTCCGAGGAAGATAAAACTTCATATCTGGGTCTGTAAATCGATATACAGGGTGCTCAAATTTAAAAAAAAATCATGTTTTCAAAAATACCTCGAAAATGATTGATGTAGAGTGATGAAAGTTAGGCTAATGATTTACTTAATTAAAGGTAAACGTTTTCATAGATACAGGTATTTTATAAAACTCGATTTGCACTTTGGCTTAAAATCACTCAAGGAGTATCCCCGTGTTTATCAAACATCCTGTATATAGGGTATTTATCGGTATTAAGTAGCAGTTACTGTCTTATCTAAAATCAAATTTAGTCAAATCTTTCTTAAAAAACAATACAGGATGATTTCACTTTAAACAATTAGACCTTTTATTGAATGTAATATTAAACTAAATAATAAAATAACAATAGCAAATAGGTCGAGTAAGTAATTAAGTAATAAGTAACAATAGGGTTGTAGACTGTAAAAACAAACTTGTTGTTTATTCAAAGATTTTATATAAAAAAACCTGCCTATATAGTAAAATTTTAAATATATGATAAATTAGTGGTAGAAATCATTTATGAATTTTTGCGTCACTAAAAAACTAGTCTGACGTCATAAGAGGCAATTGAACAAGAAGCTAGTAGCGATCGTATTGCATAATTTTGAAGAAGAAGAAGAAAATTTGTCAAAATTGTCCGTCAAACTCTGTTGCCCTGTTTCCTGTTTTTTAAATAAAAGTGACACTAGTGACAGCAGTCTATCAATTAAGAGTATTTCTGATAGTTATTATTAATTTCCTGATTGTAATGGATTCAACAAAATTTAAGTGGTGTTTTGTTCTACATTCCACATTCCACATAGCCAATTGCATTACCTCCATAAGACTTCCGAACTGTACTATAATTTTCTATAAATAAATAGGTATTTTGTAATATAAAATATCTGCTTATATTATGTTTTATTTATTTTATTTATATTATAAATAAACACAATAAAAGCATTCATTAAATTTGTTGATCCTTACCTGACTGGTTTTATAACTCTGATTTCGCCTATATTAAAACGATCGTCTCTTTTTAAAAATTCAATTCATGATCATAAATATATCAATTTTCGGTAAAACTTGTAGCTTTCACAAATCCCTTTTCACACATTCTGCTTTAATTCTAAGGGAAGATACGAAATGATTATTACTAAATAATAATTTTACTTAATAAAGGAGTTCGAAAAATAAGGAAAATAACTCGTAGACTTGAAAATATTTTATGCGACAATTTCACTGACAGACTGACACTACTGACAGTGTTGACAGAACGTCTTCTTCCAATTTTTTTCCTTTACGCAATTATTTACACGTAATTTCACTACAAGGTGCCCCTTATGACGTCACAGCCGTTTTGAAATATTATAAAAAAATCAGTTTTAAATAATTATTTTAAAACTGTTCTGACGCATTTCTCAATCTCTAATTGTGCATATATACTAGTTAGTACGTGTAGAATAATATTATCTACTTTTTGAAATTTGTTCAACAACCCTATTCTCCAAAGCGCAATCCTTCCATATCGATACACTTTTGACATCTTCTAGTTTATTTATATATAGAGGAACTTATCATGACATGATTTTCTCTGAGTAGTTTACAATTTTCCTCTATTCTTTGCCACAATTCTTCTCGTGCTCATCAGCCCAACAAGGACTGCAGCTTCAGGAATAAATAAACAAAGCTAGTTATAATACTAAAACGAGATCATCGTAAAGCTTCCTAACCGATAATGCAGACAAAGGAATCAATTTTTGCAGATGGATTTTAAACAAACATGAGTATGTGGACCAGTTTTGCTTATTATGGTCGGTAAATAACTAAATTATTTCCTAAAGGCTGCTACTATTAAAAAACACCGAGATACACTTTTCATTTATTTAACGTAACAGTACCTGAATTTAACATTATTTCTACAAAAAACATCAGTGGTGTATTTTTTTCTTGGCAAAACGGAGCGGCACCTTCAGTAGCACGCCACTGGTTAATGCCACTAGGTTAATGTTACATTCAATAAAAGATCTAATTAGGTGAATAGGCTGTAGTAAATTTCATTCAAATTGTTCAGCGCATTATGAAGATATGATAAATATATTTTTTTTAAACTTGAACACCCTGTATCTCGAATGCTACGTGAACCAGGAAAAAAATTATAGAACGAACTCTACTTATTTTTTGGCAATTAATCTATTCCTGTGGTTTCTGTATTGAAAGTGAAACCACCCTGTATATTGCATTGGCACCATCAAGTTTTTGTCTTGTAGGGTGTTTCATAAAGACCTCCCGTAAGTACAGGGGGTGATAGTGTGACAAAAAGTAAGAATTTTTTGACATGAACTAAATGTCTATCTCCTCTTGTTTTCGAAATACAGAGCGACAAAATAATTTTTTTTAAATAGAATTTTTACGAAAATTTCCAAACGGTGCGAAATATTTTTATGAAATTTGGTATTCCGGGTTTTTTAATGATGCCAAATACACTGGTCTAATTGTTTTTAATAATATTTCATAGAAGGCGCTAGTTGTGCTACATTCCTATTACATTTTAAATTCTAATTTTTTTTAAGGTTAGGTTTTTTACCATTCGGGATCCAATTTCTAATGTACAATTGTATTTTCTAAAAATACTGTACTCTCATTAGAACTCATAATGAGGGCAGTTTTCGAGAAAAAAGGCTTTTAATTAAACTCTTACAATATTACGGTGTATAAAATAAATGACTTTTCTCAAAGTCAAAACTTATTGATGGATGTCTCATAAACAACGCATACATTCTTAGAAATATTTTATACTTTATTAAATTTATATTAAAACTTTAGTGACTGTAATTAGCCATTACTAACTACAGTCACTAAAATAAATTGAAGATGGCGATATTCAACTGTAATTCTTGAATTAAAAAAATACGGATTCAGTGTCAGTATTTTTTTTTCTAAAATACACAACTTTTATGTGTCGTATATCTAGAATATTTCGCAACTAATTCTTGCAGTAATCATTGTGATGTTTCCAAACTTCTTTAAGATCTAACAACCTATACAATAGTTTACTTCTTAGCCCACTGATGATCAAAATATGCCGATAACCATTTTCAAAACTTTCCAAATTATCCATTTTAAATTAAATGAGCTGCTGTAGAAAATCCATAGATTAATTTAATTAAAATTGTCTGAGTACATTTATTTGTTTGAACAATTCGGGTGTATTTTTTATGAAGCCAAAAGTAAACCTCCAATTACAAAATCTTAATTTTAACTGAAATCACGACTCAATTAACGTATTGTTAAATACGTTTACTTTATTACTAATTCCTTAAGTGAACTCAAGTACTTAAATGTTTATTCACGCAGTGATGATTGTCCGTGTGAATTATTAAAAACTTCCCTGAATACGCTTTCCAAATTTTCTTCGAGTGAAAACTTCAAATTTAAACGGAGTGGCGATGAATTTAGGACCAGAAGGCTTTTTGAATTAATTAACCCGTCATGTTAATTAAATAATTTAAGGAATTATTACAGACCTATACACGAAATGTGAAAATTATGAAGCCTAAAACGTTATTAAGCTTCAAAAACAAGAGAAACAATTTCGGTACCTATTAAGGAAAATTAATATTTCAACGCAATTAATAATTGCGTTGTCCAGCAGTTTACAGGTATTATAAAAGCATTTATATAAGGTAATTAAAAATGCAATACAAATAATTTAAGAGGTCATGGAACTTCGTAAATTTAGGGCTCTTTGTAATGGCTCCTCGAAAAGAGGAGGTAAAAACCACTTTCTCAATTATAACTTTCAAACACTTTCGAGTATCAAGTTGAAATTGTCAAGACATTTTAAGGGTAGGTTAAATTTAGTTTTTTTAGTTTTTTTTAGTTTAGTTTAAAATTTTTTCATATCCTATTTTTAATTACAACTTTCTGCAATAATCTTCCGCGTAATATTGATTTTCATAGTTTTCAACATAAGAAGGTATTCTTGCTTAAAATTAGTAAAGCAAACTGTTTACGAGTAATTGACTTTAAAATCCAAGAGCAATATTGCATTATCGAGGTAGCTCTGAAACAATGTCATATGAGTCTAACAATACTTTGTGTTTGTATTCTAAAATCGTTAAGTATCCGAAACTACTGTTACATTTGAAAGCATAGAGAATACATTTTTGCGGAATACATCAATAAATCTATTAACATTGGATAAATATTCCCTATTTGGGAACATTAAATTTAAAAAACATCTCCGGGAATTCCGAATGGTCAAAATAAAAAATGATGCAGGCCGACCAAGATCAACCCGGATAGTCGAAATTTAAGAGGCAATATTAGAGACTGTTACCCAGGAGCCAATGTAAGTACAAGTCACATTGCTTCAAGAAAATCAGCTTTACAACAGTATTCGGAGTGTTACGTGAACAACTTCTGCAGCTTTTTTGTCAAACGGTGGTAGAAATGAACGAACTCAAGGTAAGATCCCCTTTATCGACGAGACTACATTCACAAGGCGAGATATGTCTAACTCACATAACTCTCGTTATTGGAATCAAGAAAATCCATATGTTTTCCCAAAAATCATCGTTATCAACGTACTTTTAATATCACT